ACACTACATGTTTCGGCCCTAAATGGCCATCATCAGGTGTGTATTCTTACGTAGCTGCTACACTGCCCATAGTTTAAAATTTAAAATCACCAGTCTTTCCAATTGTATGTATGTATAAAATCTTTGTTAACCTACACGCGTCAATTTGATTTCTAAAATTGGCACGTTTTTAAAACTTCAATTCAAATTAAAATGTCTATAAATTTTCTGTTCTTTTTCTTTTTCCAAATTTTTAAAAATTTTCTCGGGGTACACGCCCTATGTCTATAGTGCTGCAGCAGCCACTTCTTGTTTTATCGCTGTTCAGGTACTGTTCTGTGTAGGCTCTCTGTGTGTGTGTCGCTGCTTATCTTTAATATGTGAGCATTTATTTGAAAATGTTATTTGTAATTTTTGTTTACTAAGACTGTATATGTGGAAATGTTCTAGTGTATTTATCAGGTGACCTTCTTTCTTTATGTGATGTACATTCAGTGTTTTATTTTATTGAAACTATGTTCTGTATCTAAGATCTGCTGTGTATATTTTTAACTTTGTTGGTTTTAATGGCCTGCATGTATTCCATGAGTTGTGTTTTGGATATGTTTTATATAAGGATACAGATTAACATGACCTTCCCAAAATGAGTTTGCTCTGTCCTGTGGATAAATGTCTACAACAGTTCTGTGAACCACTGGCTAAGGATACCCTGATTCTATTGATCACATATTTAGATATGTGAAATAAAGAGCATATTTTATGTACTGCTTTGCATGAGTGCAAAATTTAGGATCTTACTGTAAAGAATGAAGATTGAAGGTATTTGAGAAAGTGCCAGGGAGAATACTGTACTGGTATATAAAGGGAAATGAATTAAGAGGAGGTTTATAAAATGAAGAACTTTATGATGACGATTCATATTTGACTAGACATCCTTGGAACCAATCTTTTCAAAAGTGACAGTACTCACAAATGAATGTCTACCAGCAAATGAAATTCACTTGTAAGATTTCATGTACAGAAATGCACATTTGTACAAAATAAGCTTCTCAATTTTGTTAATGTTCACATGACTGACTGGTGTTTACAGCCATGGAGACTTCTCAGTGTGTCAAACCACTCACAAACTGTTGCCTTCTTTCACCAAGAACCTAATTATTCATCACTGCTGCACCATCTTCTTACTTTCTATGGATGCCATCTTGGAATATGACTAAATGCATATGTACAAATATGGTTAACATGTGTGGGAGTGACATACAAGAAAAGTTAAAATTCTGGATGAAACCTGAACCACATACAATTTGCACTCATATTGTACTCTGAAAATAGGTATTAGGGAAAAAATGTCAACTGTACTGGACTGGCTCAGGAAATGCTTTTGTTAGTACTATAATGGACCACTTAATTCCATGATTGTTTTTTCAATCGGTGTATAACCATTCATTTGTCAGTGAAAATTCTGCACCATTAATCTTTATGTTTAGGCTCACCATAATCCAAATTCTGTTGAATACTTCTGATATGTGGTTGTTACAGGATTTGAAAATTAAAGGCTGAAACAATTCTGTCGAGGAATTGTGGTAGACATATTTATTTTTCTACAAATCAAGGTGGAACTAGATGAATATTAATGATCAAATTTCTTCTTGCGCTTCTTCTTTTTAGCAGGTTTCTCAAATAGTTCTTCTCCCTCAGTTGGTCGCTTCTCACCACTAGAACATTAAGAAACCATCATACAGTGTGAATATTATATGGTAACGTTGGTATTCCATTTTAGTTCATGAATGTATCTTGTTTATGTAAATAAATATCATACTTTTTAAAATTATTTTACAATAAAACAACTGCAAATCTCAACATGGGACATGAACTGATCATATAGAAAGAATTTAGAATGCTCACAAAGATTGATGCAGCAGAACAAGAATCACAAAAACCTCTTACGAGTTTGGCAAGATTCTGCTTTATGATACTGTATCTGTAGACCAACTGGGCCTAATATTCTGACAGGCAATGGTGACTCAGTTTATACTACAGCACTTGTTATTAGAAATATTACACTGCAGCATCATGTGTGTAAGATAAGGTTCATTATTACTAGTCCACACAATCCTGCTATAAACATGCCAAAACATGTAGTACATGCAAATGTAGACACTGCAGGTTCTTGTTNATTGTACTCGGAACCTTTCTTTTGTTGTGCCCCCTCCCCCCAATTATTTATCCATCATTAAGCTTCTTAACACACTGTGACATGATTGCTGAAAGATGGAATAGTGGAACAAGAAGAGGCAGCGACTAATAGGCAGTGACACAGTAACCACATTTCCGCAGCAACAAATCAACATGCAACAACAGAGGAACTGTTGGAAGTGGGGTTTTCTGTGGACCTTGCCAAGGCTATATAACAAGGACCAGCAGCAGCAGTCCTGTCAGAGTTGAGTGAGTTGGTGGGTCAGTTGAGTGCTCACTCAAGTCACACCAGTAGGAGGGGGAATGACCAATAGCAGTCAGACTCCTCACCCTGAACAGGAGGCCCCATTTCAGAATGTGTAAAAGCCTTGGAAAGAAAAATATGGTCATGGGACCTGAAACCAAGAATAACTGTACTGGTGAGGGTGAACGGCAATTTGACAGTCCTCTCAGTCTTGAGATGCACTGTTGGCATCCACTATCTAGCAATGACTAGTGAATATACAGAAGACTTCACGTGTCCTGTAGTTGTGATCTCAAAGAGTGTGTTACAGTTATTTATAGTTACAAGTTATAAGCATTCAATAAATCCAGTTATCAATACAAACCTCATGTATAATCACTAACATGTGACACTATATTGTTTTCTGAGGTGAAGTTGCTAACTTTACACCCAACACTCAACTTGAAGGACTTTCATCTGGCTCTGCCCATTGATCAGTCTGGATTGGGTGATCCTATTAGGAACTTATGCTCCCACCAGCAAATCATCTAGGTGAACAGGGCATACAAACCTCCCCACCATGTTAAGGTAGGAGCCTAGGGGAAGGCTTCAAAACTACAACTTATACTTAATTCGACTCATCTGAATTTTCATTTCATGCATCCTGTTGTGTTATTATATACAATTCTTTATTAAATCTGTCACAACACAATAATACAGTGTTCATGGCTAAATAAGCTTTGTTATATGTTTCGGCTATTCATAGCCATCATCAGGCAAATACACGATCATCATGTTTACATACTAGTGAACTGCAATTGCGTAGTGAGTCTGGATACATGACAATTATCATATTATAAAACACATGGTATAAAAATTACAATGAAATATAAACTATTATAAAACAAGAGTTTTGCTGTAAAATAAGGTTAAATCTATTTAAGTGATTATATCACGAAGTCAGTAATAAATATAAATATCCATTGTTTGGCCTTTCTTACCGATGTATAAAATTTCCAATATTTTCATATTTATGAAATCAGCAAACAAAATATACAACTCAACGATAATTTCACTGAAATTTTTAATCCTATATATGATGTAATAATTGACACATACCAAACATAATCAATATTCATATCTCCCCTCCCACCACATCCTCACACCCCACCTCTACCCCCCCCCTTCCCTCTTTTTGCACCAACTTCACTATAACATAAATCACCAAATCAGTTGCAATCTGTATGCCCTACAAAACCGACATAAATACATTGTACGATGAGGCACCAACCAAACAGTAAGTAAACAATACTACTATATCATCGATATCAAAATCAACAGTTATTATTATAAATCGAATAGCTTTTATTGACACATCATTTTCAGATTAATGTTGAAATTAGGGTCGCGCCATAGCTCAAGCGGTTAGTCACTGGCTTCCCACCGCGGCAGCCTGGGATCGATCCTGGGTCTGCAAGTGGGATTTGTGGTGGACAAAGTGGTGCTGGGGCAGGTTTTCTCAGAGTACTTCGGTTTCCCCTGCCAATCTTCATTCCACCAATTGCTCCACAATCACCCTCACCTATCATCTGGGGCTGGTACAGTAGGCCAGAAGTGGCCACAGTGCAAGGGACTTAGTCCCACCCCACTAGCAATAAAAAAAATGTTGAAATTATACTTCACAGGCCTCCAAACAGTTTATCATATAAAAGTCTAGAATATTCCATCATCCGCAGGAAAACACAAGATTGCAATGACTGACTTCGTGATATAGAATATCACTTCAATAGATTTAACCTTATTTTAAGGCAAAACTTTTGTTTTAAATAAGTAAATTTTCCTGGGGAGTAAAGCGTGGCCAGCACGTAATGCTGACAACCTTACCGCCATCTTTGAGCCGATTGCCTAGATAATGTGGCACCCTCAATGTCTCACAACCCTATGGGCCTTCATGGCCTGTTACAGGGATAGCTTTACTTTACTTTTTATATTTAATTATAATTTTTATACCATGTGTTTTACAATGTGATAATTGTGAAGTATCCACACTCATTGCACAATTGCAGTTCACTAGTGTGTAAACATGATTATTGGGTATTTGCCTGATGATGGCTATGAATAGCCGAAACATGCAGCAAAGTTAATTTAGCCTTGAACACTGTCTTGTGTTGTGATGGACTTAATAAAGAATTGTATGACTTATCTCAAGTTTAGCCTCTGACAACTCTTTACAACCAATCACATAACAAAACTTTGGCTGAAAGCAGATAACCTGGTCCCATGTTATAAGAATTTTTCCATATTTCCATAGAGAGACACTGCAGGTTCTTGTTAACAGTAATGCTTTAGACTGTACTTGAGGACTACCTAATTTCACTCTTGGCAGGTTACACTGTTGTATTTTTCCTTAGTCTTTTAAGGCAAATGCTGCAACAGTACTCATACTTCGAAATATGTCAGAAGTCAGTATAGCAATGGGCTATAGGCTGGATGGCCAGAGTTCAATTCGCAGTAAGTGAAAGATTTTTCTCATCTCCACAACATTCACACCAGCTCTGTAGCCCACTCAGCCTCCTATCCAACATGCACCAGGGGCTCTTTCCTGGGATAAAGCTGTCAGAGCATGAAGCTGACCACTCACCTCCATCTACGAGTACTACTGAATCCAACAATGATGGAGCTGAACTGGCACTCCCCATACATATGCACAGGGACAGCTTTACCTCACCTAGAAATAAGTCCAGCCACTTTCTAAGTCCTGATCAATTACCCATTCAGGGCCACCTACACATCTGATTTGAGGAACATAACCTTTACATTTGAACGTTATTAAATAACCCAAATATCCATCATATTGGGATATTGTTTTTAAAAGAGTACTGCTCTACTTATAGAGCAGTCTTAGCAGAACAGTTCTCTGCTGATCAAAGGTAACTAATGAAACTCCTAAAGGTAAAGGTAAAGTTCATGTGTTTCATTAAGTACCACACCTTGCAGACATATTATGGAATGGAGCAATTGTTTTATACATTCTCAACCGTGACACTAGACAGAGATGTATGCTCAGCTTCGTGCCCCAGCTTTGTCCCCTAGTACCCACTGAATAGTCTGGAAGAATCCCTGAACCAGGGTCTGGACATAGTGGCGAAGAGACAAATCTGTTACTGCTTGGAATCAAACCCCAATTCTCCGGTCCAGCCTGTAACTTAGTCACTACTATTTTAATGCAGAGTGGGTAAAAATAATTACAATTCATTTCATGTAGGAGAAAATGTAGGAAGTAATTTGGGAATGTAAACAGTAACATTCTGATATTCACGTTTTGACAGAAATAATATTCTTGAGCTTCTTTCCTGAAGGACCCAATGCCTGTGTCCAATCTTCTTCTGAACCTTTAATTGCATACTGACTAAGATTTTCTTGTTTGAGTTTCTTCAACTCCTGCTGCTGTTTGAGCTTCAGTTCCTGTAATACAGAAGTCCTATATATATTACTCTCCACCTATGTAGGACATAACATAGTATTCCATACACATAACAAAGAGCTAATTTACTGGTAATTACCTTTGCTGCTTCATCTAACTCATCACGCATGCTCTTGGCAATGGGGCTGAATGTGACATCAGTTCTTGACAGGATTAGACCCTGTTTTATGGAGTGTTCCAGAATGCCTGCTAAATACTGAACACATCGACGAATTGTTCGGTTGAACAGCCCCAAGAGCTGTGATGCTGGCAGCTCCAGCTCTGATGCAAGATTATCCACAGTTTTACACTGCAGACCAAGTCCAAGCATAATTGCCTAAAACAATGGAATAACATTTGTGTGTTAATTTGCATCATGTGATACAATTTATACCAAGAATATAGAAACAGAATATGTGGGAGAGGAGATAAGAATATTATATTACAATTTATTAAGATACTTCACTATGCCTGAAAACCATAATATTTCAGATTTAAACAAATGAGTTCAGTACATCAGAAGATGCTTCCTTTCAATAACTGATGTTCTACACATCCATCTACTACATACACTTTATTAAATCTTTAAAAATTTAACTTCTGCCGGCTCAAAGACACTGTCAGTGTCCCCCCTCCCCCCATCACAATAAGCTTCTGATGCTGACTGCCCATGGCAAAGCAAAGATCTCTAAAACTAATGCTCTCTGTAGGGCATGAAAAGTGCAAGACAAACTGGTCTGCTCACACTCCATGTGCCACGTCTGACTCCACTGTTATGTTCTCTGCAGAAAGGAAACTAAAACTGTATGGGTACATTCATAGTCCATGCAATACTTCAAATGTCGATATATCAACATGTTCATATTTATCTGAGGGTTAATGAATCTCTTTTATCACAAACACAGAATATTTAAATCAACATGATGTTAAAAGTGACAGAAGAGGATCTGGAAATTCTGAAGATTATGGAAGTACTCTGACAAAAATCTATGCAAACAGGAATCTTCATGGGCAACTGAACCCTAACTTACTGACTGCACGGCAGAGAAGCATGTATCACCCATGCAACTGAGGAAGTAGAGGCGAGCCAGGGCAGGAACCAAGTCCATAACCAAGTGGTAGTCCACTAGATTGTTGCTGTACATCTCCAGCCTCTTTATATCGTACTTAGTCAAGTACACATCAAGCTCCATTTTGCTTAGCACTGCAAAAATTACAAAATATTTACTGTAATAATCAATATTCTACAACAATACTGAAACTCAGATTAGGTTAAAAAGGGTTGGGTGTTAACTACCCTAGCACAGTGACCTATCTTCAATCTACTGTATATCCCCTTTCTTGTGATAGAGCCTGCAGCAGTTCTGTATGTCACATGAAACACGTTCTCTTGCTTAACGGGTGTTTGGTTTCAGGAAGCGTGTCCCCAGGAATGCAGTAAGTTCAAAATTCAATTATCATGGAAAAGTGGCCGGTGCAGCCAATAAAATCCCAGTACACAGGGATGGCGGTAAATGTGTTAATTCAGCGAAAACTTGTCACATAGGATGCATAAGGATGTTTAGTGTCATGACACATTTTACACGTACTATTTACCAGTCCTAGCTGGCTCCTATTCAAAACCTGGCCGTGCAAGAAGGAGACCTTTCTAATCATAAATCACAAACCACAAATTACAATTTTGCTGCCCTATTTGTATTTTTATTGGCAAGTTAGAATTTCACAGCAGCTAAAATCATCCACCATAATCAGGAGGATACAGACATGAAGTTACGAACTTTGAACTTACCTGTGTAGTAGGTGGAAAGATGATATTAAAATGGATCTTAGACGAGTAAGTTGTGAAAATGTGAATTAGGTTGGAACAACTCAGGCCAGAATCCAGTAATCAGCTTTTGTGACTACACTGATGATCCTTTAAGTTCCATAACTGGGAATTTATTGACCAGCAAAGTAATTATAATATGCTTAAAGATCTTGCATCATGCAGTTACCGAAGCACTAACCTGTGGGCTCTTGTTTGCAGACCTTATTCTGAAGCACACTAAGTGCAAGGGCCGGTGAAAAGCTGCGGAACTGCAAGCCTAACAAGGATATAAAGCGGCGCCTGAAGTCAGCCCAAAATTCTCCAAGCCATGATCCTTTTTTGGTCTCATCTCTTTCACTATCATCACTGCTATCTGAGCTGTCCAATATGTGCAACATGATGCATGAGTGTTCACCTGTCAAATCATTGGTTGTCTGCCTGCCATGCATAAGTGACACATCACTGATTTCATTCCTCTCAGAAAATACAATAACATTATAACAATAAAACATTATAACAGGGTAGAAGAAGGGCCCAGATATTCTGTCCACATTGTGAAATTCCATGATGATACAACTGGTATACTTTTACTAAATCTTAAGAATGCAAACAAAAAAGATCACCTCAAATAAACTGGAACAAACTCTGCTCTTTTCCAGAATTTAAGGAGAGGTGCTGTGAGCCCAAATGATACCCCAAGGTAGTGCAGATGTTCTGGTGGTCTCTCACTCAGTTTCAGTAAAAGTGGTGGCAGAGACTTTCTTGGTTCTGTACAAAGCAAAGCACAATCATGGTACAGTTCTTTTCAGTCTAGTTATACCCTGAAGTGTAAAATGAGACAAAACAGACAGACATCTGTAAACCAATTAATCCTGTTAAACATCCCATCTTTTCAAAACACTAACATGCTGAGAGCCTTGGAAGTGGACATGCCTCTAAACCCACTCACTCATCTGCCTGCATGCATTTAAAAATGTAGTTTCAGTTGTCGACATTTACCTGGACAGAGAAGAGAACAATGAAAAGCTTCAATCAAGTTAACTAGTAATCTACACATGATATGACATGGATACCTTTCAAATATGAGCCTACAATGTGGAGTATGTATAAAACAAACCTTGCACCATGCCTGTCTTCAGTCTGTTGCGCATAATCTTGAATATTAATACTATTCATATATCTGCATGTACAAATGAAACTTCCAAATTTCAGAAAACAGGACACATTACTTTTAGAGATTGTATGCAAATATAATGAAAGTTGGATATTATAAATAACAGCAATAATGTGAACATTAATATGAAGATGATTTCTGTGACTGCCTATGGGACAGAGAGAACAAGTCAGGATGAAAAATTTACCTATTCTTTCCTCCAAAAGGCCCACTTTCTCATCTTCAACACTCTTAATGTGCTCTTGAGGCAGCTGATCCTCCTCGATGCTTGGAATCTTGAACTCATAATACTTTTTCAACAAGGAGAGAGCTTTGCTGCCATATCCCATCTGTAAATTGTAAAGTGCTATAAGAAAAATGACACAATTAGGAATATGTATACATCTGAATAAATGTAATTTTTGGCATGAACTTAATGTCAAAATTGTTAACCATTTACAGTCAAGGAGTATAAAAGAGTATTGCTTATGGATTCCCTTCTGCTGCTTGAATACAGACTTCACACATCAAGAAATTAAATTAATGATGCAAATTATGGAGTACAACCTTTCTCATCTCAGTTACAGATGGTGAGCAAAGGGATACCTAACTCTGAAATATTTGTTTTTCCTATGTTAGGAGGAGCATTTAGTAATGCTAAGAGGGGTCTCATTTAAAATTTAAATACAGTGGAAGCCGCAAGTGGACTTCAACACTATATCAAGGAAAATCTTAAATGTAAGAAATTCAACACTGAAATTATTGAACGAGACCAATGAAAACTAAAAATGAAATGAGGGAAAATCTTAAATCAAATAATATTAAATGGTGGCTCCACTGTACCTCAAAAATCTTGGTTATTGAGTACCATACACTAGCGTTTTAATGGAATCAGGAACTAAAGGTTACAAAGATAAAGTCAAAAATAATTTCTGGGTAGGGGGAAGAATTCTTATGGTCTAATTTTCTTTACATTCTTCCCTCCAAACCAAGCAAATCAATTCATAATTATGTAACCTCATACCCCTTGATAGTCTGGATGTGTGGCTATCCTCACTATCCTGGCACCAGACAGCATGGGGAAGTCCTGATCTTGATATTGCTGGGCCACAGTCCAGGGAATAAGATCACCAGATGCTCTCTTACCTCTTGATAATCCATTAACAATAGAGTTCTTTGACACTTGACCTTCCAAGCATACCTGATTAATAACAGATGTATGTCAAGCCACAAAGATCTTAACATAACAATAACAGTATTACAAAAGTTTTCATATACAGCTACTCTCAACACTCATTCATTCATTCATATATACAGTGGTAATTATATTAGGTCTATAACAAAACTGTTTAAAACACACTGATATACAAATAGGCCTTTTATGACATTTCATAACAAGCTTATTTTTTTACAGTGAGGAGTTGTGAGTCCCATGCCCCAACCCCAAGCAGGACCACCACCCCTTGTTAGCGGTCTGCGACTGCTTATTCAATATATCTGCAGCGACCCTCCATATCTGGAGGCCGTCTCCTACATCCGCAACCTGAGCATGTGCCATGTCATGGTGACGAGGGACTCACCTCTGTATGGGGCAGGTTTGCTTGCGGCAATTTGGAAAATAAATATCAAAATATAAGTTACAGTTAGTGGGAATACAGCAGATCAGATAGGACAGAGGTGGCACTAGACCAGCTGGCGAATACACATTTTTCTATGGAAAGGGGAACAAGAGTCATGAATTAGGTAGTTTTTCAAACACAGGAGAATCATAGCAGCAGTTAAGAGAGTAGTAATTGATGGGATATCATACATAATACTATAAGGTCACTGGTGTGATATCGTTGTTCTGAATGCTCATGCCCCAACAAAGGATAAAACTGATGATGTGAAGGCCAAGTTCTAGGAAGAACTGGAATGTGTATTCAATAAATTCCCTAAATACCACACAAAAATTTCATTAGGAGATTTTGATGCCAGAGTAGGCAGGGAAGACATTTTCAAACCAACAACTGGGAATGAGAGTTTGCACAAAATTAGTAATGATAATGGAGTTAAGAGTATGAAATTTTTCCACATCCAAAAATCTGTCAAAGTACTTCATTCGCACATCATAACATTCATAAATTTACGTGGACATCTCCTGACGGAAGGACTCACAACCAGACTGATTATATTTTGATAGAAAGGAGATGGCATTCAAGTATACCTGATGCCAGATCATTCAGGGCAGCAGATTATGAAACTGATCAGTATCTTTGGTGGCAAAAGTTAGGGAGAGATTGGCAATGAGAAACAAACAATGCACACAGTTCATATGGGGAGGATCAATCTCAAGTAATTAAATGAGGCAGGGGGTAAACAGCAGTGTCAGGTTGAAATCTCAAACAGGTTTGCAGTTTTGGAAAACTTAGACTCTGAGGCAGATATTAATAGAGCTTGGGAAACTATCAGAGACAATATTAAAGTTTCAGCCAAGGAAAGTCTAGGTTGTTATGAACTGAAGAAGCATAAACCATGGTTCAATGAAGGACACTCAAAATTATTAGATGAAAGGAAACAAGCCAAATTGCAATGGTTACAGCATCCAAGTGAAATAAATGGGAATAATATGAACAATATAAGATGTGAAGCCAGCAGACATTTCTAAAACAGAAAGAGGGAGTATTTGAAAGACAAAATTGATGAGCTTGCAGTAAACAATAAGAACATTAGAGATCTGTAGAGAGGAATAACTGAATTTAATAGTGGTTACCAACCTAGAACTAACTCAGTGAAGGATGGGAATGGTAATCTACTAGCAGATTCCCACAACATTTTTAACAGATGAAAGAACTACTTCTCTCAGTTGTTGAATGTACATGGGGTCAGTGATGTTAGGCAGATAGAAATGCATACAGCTAAGCTGGTAGTACCTGGTTCTAGTCCTTTTGAGGCTGAACTGTTTTATCAGAAATTATTTTTAAAATTATGTACAATCTTGAAAAATAACTCTGAAATAGTTTTTTTTTGTATTACTAAGTATGTATCCCACAGCATGACATTATAAATGTTGAAAAATGTATGAACAATGACGAATTTAATCGAATTTCAAGAACTTTTGTCCTTATTGAGAGCCCTGTAATAACAGACAATGCTATGGATTTCAGCAGTGTGCGACTCAACATAAAAATAAATAATCACATATGCATTCCCCCGATATGAAGTTCATCTTCCTTAATTTAATTTGCTTAGTGGGGAGTGGAGTCCAACTGGGTCCACTCGGCACGGCGGCCAGTGATTGGCCTATTGTACCTGCCCCATGTGATTATGATGATGGAGAATTTGGTGGAATGAAGACTGGCAGGGGAAACTGAAGTACTCAGAGAAAACCCGCCCCAGCGCTACTTTGCCCACCACAAATCCCACTTGACCAGACCCGGGATCGAACCCGGGCCACCGCAGTGGGAAGCCCGCAACTAACCACTTGAGCTATGGTGTGGCCCAAGTTCATCTTCCTTCCTACAGCAGTCAAATCACCATGTCAACTGGTGCTTAATTTCCCCAATACTGCAAATGATATCCAAAAATAGTATCCATACTCCTATGCTTGGGGCTTGAGTTATGATGTGGATTCTGCTATTCCTGAATATTTCCATTCTTACGCACAGTATGGTTTAAGAAAAAAGTATAAACTGGTAGTCTGTACACCAAGAAACCTGAGAGCAGTATAACTAGTTAACAACTGACAGTTTCCTCTACATGGAGTTTAATTTGTTATTTCCTATGAAAATACTGCACAAAGATTTCAACCCAACAGAATGCTTCCCATTTTCACTATATACAAGTTACTGTGCTTAACTAATTAAGCACTATGCCATGAAGGCATATGGTGGAGTGTATCTATAGATCCACATATTCTTGATCTCAGCACTAGTTGGGAGTAGCCAGCTTCATGCCCCAGGTGATTTACCCACAGGGAAAGAGCCCCTGATACCTACTGGATAGGATGATGACAGAAAGATCTCGCCCATACTGGGACGTGAACTCCGACTCCTCAGCTGTCTGGCCCATAGCCAGTCAATAAACTGGGTGTGCTATCATTGGCTCCTTTTCACTAGATATAATTGTTCTTAATACAGTACAAGATTATATCCTCTATTTTATATTTTTTATGTATGTACACTACTTTGGAGTCAGTCATTTACTCTTTCAGTTTCTTACCTGAATAACTACAAGAACTTCTGGCAAAGATTTCTGATTTGGATCAACTGGTCCAAGCAAGCAGAATAAATGATGTGCTGGAGCATCTGACATCATCTGAAGATCATTTGGACTGTTCTGTGAACAAAAACGAATGTCAGTTAGGCGAGATAAAAATTATAAGAAATGTATATCAGGTTCAGAAGAGACACAGTTACTAAGCAATCTGAGATAAGATACATCTTTCTGATGATTCAAACCCTTTGCTTATTTCCTCTGTTAATATGCTTGACTGTATTCAAGGAAATGCAGATGTCACAGAAGGGAATTTTATTTATGGAGCTTCCTCTCCATAAAAAAATAATGCATCTGAAGCAAAATCATTTCATCTGTCTCTGAGAAAACTGTCATTGTTTTAACCATCGCATAACATACACTTAATTTTTAAATTAATGTGTAGAATGTAAACAATTAAGAAGGCAGGAGGAAATACAGGAGACTGAGGAATGAATTGAAAAGAGCCACAGTCAGGGCCAAAAAGGAATATCTTGATAAGATATGTAATGAGATTATAGAATTTCAAAGGAGAGGACGTTATGATTTGATGTACATGAAGACAAAAGAACTAGGATGGAAAGAGAACCATGGGATTCAAAATATTGGCATCGAAGACTCCCAGGGGAATAGAATAGTAGATCAGAGGAAAGTGCTGAAAATCTGGGAAAATTATATTACAGAACTATATGAGCGACCTAATCGGCCAGAAACCTTGGAAGTGGAACCGGAAGAAGTAGATACAGACGAGAAAGGACCATATATTTTACAAAATGAGGTGGAAAAAGCTATCAAGGACATGAGGAATGGAAAGGCTACAGGAGATGATGATGTACCTGGAGATGTGCTTAAGTTACTGGGAGAAGGTGGTTTGAAAACACTGACAAAACTAATAAACACCATATATGAAACTGGGGAGTGGCCCAAGGACTTTACAGAAGTGACAATGATTGCCTTAAAGAAAAAGACAAAACCTACAAAATGCAGCGACCATGGCACAATAAGCCTAATGGCACATACAGCAAAGATACTTAAAAGAAGAACTGAAAGGAAAATAGAGGATATACTCAGAGAGAATCACTTTGGATTTAGAAGAGGAAAGGCAACCAGGGATGCAATTGGGATAATGAGAATTATAGCAGAACGAACTTTGGAGACAGATGAAGAACTGTGTGCTTGCTTTATAGACTGGCAGAAGGCATTTGACCCTGTAAATTGGACCAAATTAATGCAGATCCTAAAGGAAACAGGTATCGACTGGCAGGAAAGATTGATTAGTAAATTGTACATGGATCAGAGTGCGACTGGACAGAGGGGAGACAAGAAGTGTGAAGATTGGAAGAGGAGTTCAACAAGGATGCTGTTTATCACCAATTTTGTTCAACTTGTACAGTGAATGCCTTACCAAGGAAGCTCTGGATGGGCTTGAAGACTTCAAATTAGGAAGGCAAATTATACAAACTGTTAAATATGCAGATGACCTTGTGTTAATGGCTAAGGAAGAAAATGTGCTACAGGGTATGACTGATAGACTAATCGAAAGTGGAAGGTGTTATGGCATGGAAATGAATGTGGAAAAAACAAAAGTAATGAAAATTTCGAGACAACCAACCCCAGTCACAATAAAGATAGACCAAAAACAACTGGAGAATGTGAAATGTTTTAAATATTTGGGTAGCTTGTTAACAGATGATGGAAGGTGTACTTGTGAAATTAAATCTAGGATTGCCATGGCAAAAGCTGCATTTAGCAAGAAGAAGAATCTTTTTACCAGCAAATTGGACTTAAATTTGAGAAAGAAACTAATGAAATGCTACATTTGGAGCATGGCTTTGTATGGGGCTGAAACTTGGACACTTAGGGCAGTAGATCAGAAACACCTGAAAAGCTTCGAAATGTGGTGTTGGAGAAGGATGGAGAAGATCAGTTGCACCAATCATGTGAGAAATGAAGAAGTGTTATTTAGAGTCAGTGAGCAGAGGAATATCCTACACGAAGGCTAATTGGATTGGTCATATCTTACATAGTAACTACCTTCTAAAAGAAGTTACTGAAGGAAAGAGAGAGGGGCGGAGAGAAGTGACCAGAAGACGAGGAAGAAGATGTAAGAAGATGCTGGATGACCTTGGGGACAGAAGAGGATATTCTCATTTGAAGGAGAAAGCTCTAGATCGCATTAAGTGGAGGAACTGTTTTGGAAAAGACTGTGGACCTGTCTTCTGACAGATTACTGATGAATGAATGTATATGACGGAAGGACTTGTATATTATATAGTGACATGATAGTGACTATACAGAGGCTACCACCATTTCTATAAAGCTTGTCCAAACTAAGTCAATTATTGATGAATATGGATTTTATAATCTGTTAGGTATTTTAGATATTTCCAATTTATGAAATGTAATATTACTTCAGGCATTAGATTAAATTAACTTATAATCTGCTTATATATTAACTACAAAAAACGAAAATTGAATTGAAACTATTCTATAGAATTTTCTACTCGTGAACTTAAAATTTTCACCTGTCATGGATGAGCAGACAATTGTATTTTCAAGCCCAGTGAAACTGTACTGTTAAACAGCTCAAGAATTAATCCATATATCCACAGAATATATGGTAATATATGCTAAAAATAAAACCAACCTTATAATGTGATGCAACGTACAGTGCCACTAAACGCTGAAGAAAGGCTTCAGATGCTTTATGGAAACAAAACAATGTATCTCTGAAATACAAATTCAGACATCAGAGAAGATAAATCAAACAATAACACAGGAATTCATATCTCACAAATTTAATTTGCTTAGTACAGGAAATGTTCGTAAGTACAGTAAAAATGTAGGTGTGTGTCTGGTATGAAAATACATGGTCAGTTTTTCAGCATAAAACAATATGTAATGGTTACCAAAATCACAACACAATTAAAATGTCACATGTGAAATCCCTGAATGTATTCCTTGGCTTCTTCATTCACATAATTGAATAGTTGCTACAGGTAGGTCTAATCTATTCCAACTCATAAATTATTGTCTCATAGCAATTCTATCTTTTTAGGTTCAGCTGAAAGGAAATATAGTGTTCAAATTTCCAAACCAACCCACTAATACCACGAAGCGGAGTCCATGAGAAGCCAACAGTAAGTTAGCCAATGAAGCAAGTTCTCATGTTCACAAGAGCCTGTCCCTAGTCCCTGTCCTAAGCCAGATGCATTCAGTCCAAATCCTGAAACCCTGTTTCTTTAAAATCCATTTTAACATTATCCTTCTATCTATACCTAAGTCTCCCAAGCTGTCTCTCCCCTTCAGGTTTTCAAAATATAGAATTCTGAATGAATTTTTATATATCCCATGTGTGGTCCATGCCCTACCCATATTATCTTCTTTGGTGTGATAAATTATGGAACTTGTCATTATGCACTTTTCTTCAGCCACCTGTTGCTTCATTTCTTTCAAACACAATATGCATAAACCATCATTTGCTATATTACAAATCAGTATTTCAGTTAGCACAAAATGTAAGCGGCCTCCGTAGTCTAGGGGTAACGTTCCCACTTCATGATTCAAGGTACGCGGGTTCAAACACTGTGGAGGTCATGGAATTCTTGAGGGTGGAAAAATTCAGGGAACAAGTCCTCCAGGATGGACTTTAAGCTGTGTGTCCCGTGTCGTAGATTTACGGCACGTAAAAGATCCTCATGTCTCTAGGAGACCTCTGAGCAAAATCAGGCAAAAAATTTCCTCCCCAAGTAGTTTCCAATGCCTCTGGTAGAGGGGGAAAGTATCAGGTTGGCTGAATGGGGCTGATAGCACACACCAGTACTGGTAGGGTATGGCAACTGGTAGAATATCAAAGGGGGACGTACAATAGACTATTAGTCGCAGTGCATGGGGAAACCCACCCCCTCCGATAATAATAATAATAATAATAATAATAATAATAATAGCATAAAATGTTCTACCTGTTAATATAGTACAGATCACAGTTGTCTGGTGGAGGGCAACCTGATAAGATAGGTTGCACAGATGCAGCATTTAGACACAGCAAATCATTCAGCCATTTCTCAACATGATCACCTGGTTTGTATCGGATTGACTCATTAAGCACAACCTAATAAAGGAATAATTTCATATACAGTTACTGGGTTTTTGGACTTATTCCATTGTCCGGTATTCTAGAAAATAGAAAACATGTAGTGGACAATGTAAAAAGTCCAAAAATCCAGTAATTCTGTGTTACACACCATTGTGAGAATAATTGCATGCAGACTTGTACTACATTGTACACAAAACAGCTTCCCATTAGTCACAATAAGCAAATTTAATTATTCCTTACTGAAAACCGCCATAACACAACAATCAATAATATGTGTAAGTAGCTCTACGAGATATTTTTGCTACATGTTTCAGCCTTCAAAAGGCCGATTTGATGGAGAGATATTACACATTACAAATTTACACAACGGAGTCATCCATCAAATAGTATCAAATATTAAATAATAACATACAACATAACAATGATCATCCGAACACCACATCAACCATTGTGTATATAATATGTCAGTACAAGCATTACATATATTACGATTACAACTGCCAACTTCCAAATACCAACACATATACAACTTTTAACTATACTTTTGACTGTGTAACTGGTTATTTAAGACTTCAACTTTTATTGTAATTTATATTTTATATTCACTCATATCATTTTATACCACTGTATACATTTAGAAGTTTAGCACTGTATCCTATATTTGACATGCAATTCAGTAACGAAAAGTTTAATGTATTTGCCTGATGATGGCTTTGAAGGCCGAAACATGTACCAAAGTATCTCCTAGAGCTGCTTACACTTATTATAGATTGTGGTGTTATGACAGTTTTCAGTAAGAAATAATATATGATACATAACAGGATGCAGTCACTGAAAATTTAACTTACTTCATGCAGAGCCCTTCCAGTGGATGCAGAGTGACTCTTGCTTTTGTCAGCTGACATGCCAATGGGTGCTGCCTGTGTTCGCAACTGCTGCAGTAATTTCAGGGATAGTGACCGGCCTGTACCCTCATACCTGATTAAACATGTAGTAGTTCAAATAATTGAATAATTGAATTAAACTTTAAAAATGTATACCAAAGATATTACATTCTTCATGTGGAGTAACAATGCAAGTTTTAACCCTTTGACGCGGTAATTTAAATTCCGCGGCTGCGTCTCCTGCGGTAATATATTCAGCCGGCCATTTAAATTTTGCTCGAAAATGATTTATTCATCATTGTTCTTAAATTCTATGAGATAGGAACATGAAACTTTCACTAAAATGATCTTAAAAGGTGGTTTTATAACCTTACCTTATAATATGAGCGCCCTTTATATCTTCAATGGAAGCAGGTTTTTTAGTATTTGAGCAGTGAATGGTACGCCTTGAAGCATGAAACTTTCACTAAAATGATCTTAAAAGATGGTTTTTATAACCTTACCTTATAATATGAGCGCCCTGTATCTCGGTAATGGAGGCAGTTGGTTTAGTAGAAGGAAGGCCTTGAAGCATTCGTATAACCCAACGGTGCCTCACATTCACCATTCTCCGCTCCAATATTGTGTATTTTTTTTGGCCCTTTTTTTTAACCACACATATGTGCGGCCTTGCCTTCTTACCCGTGAGGGGTATACTTCAAGGAAATGTCTTTCCGTGACCCGTTTAGTTGCCAGGTCAGCTGTAGTAAATTCAACGTTACGAGTTATCATAACAAGGGGTTGTTGCTATGCCTTTGATATTCCATCCATTTTGGCGGCAGGAGATGTCGTAGGGGTGACCACAGAATTCATGAAGTTATTCTAAGAACTGTCTGGTATCTAGTGAACGAAAGTAGAGCTTAGCTGGCTCAAAAAAATATTTATGGTCATCCCTCGAAACGACCACCAAGGTCAGTACGATAAAATGGCGTCAACTTGAGCGATAATACATGAAGGAATGAGTTCTTTTTCCCTCCCCCACACACATCCGTATCGTCTCAGGGGGTGACCACAGTGTTCTGCCTTAAATTGTGGCGTTTTTCTCAGAACTGGGCCTTTGTACTGTGCGAAATCAATGGATAATGCGAGAATAAATTACTGGACAACCCTATTCTAAGAATTTCAGTTGAGTGTGTCAATGTGGCCAGCTCAGGGTAATATGATATCATATACAACAGTAAACATCACGTCTCTTCTGTTTATATCTTCGAAGCAAAGAAAACACGCCTTCATAAGAGTACAGCTAGAAACCGCTCGCCAGAACCACAGGAACTTTGCTGCAAGACAGGCATATGTAACGATGACTTGGCACAGATAAAGTCGTGTCTTATTTATACTCTGTTCTACTGACAACAGGCCAGCGAAAAATCTAACAATCTACAGCAAAACCATCAATTATTATGGGCGTTATAACATAGGTGTGCAGCTGAACGAAACATACACGTCGAACCCCCCCAGACGATTTAAATCCCTGACGAAACATACACGACGAACCACGGCAACGGGTTAATATATTTATATTATATAAAGTAATTTTTGTCACTTCAGATGACAGTAAAAATATTGTGGCATGTAGACCCAGTGCTAGGCAATGACCACAAAATATACCAACGATACAATCTCCATTGCAAAGTAATGGCTTCACAAACAAGCATGTTTCCATGGCAGCAACTGCACTGCTACAGGGGAACGGTGTTTTCTGTGCAGTCCATGCCAATATGTTATAAGAAGGAAGTGAGTGAGGAGTTGGTTGATGAGTTAGTGAGAGGGCTGCTGAGGCCACGCCACAGCTCAAGCAGTTAGTTGCTGGCTTCCCACTGCGGCGGGTTATCTCAGAGTACTTCAGTTTCCCCAGCCAATCTTCATTCCACCAAATTCTCCATTATCATAATCACCTGGGGCAGGCTACATTAGGCCAATCAGTGGCCAACGTGCCGAGTGGACCCAACTGGAATCCACCCCCCCACTAAGTGAATTAAAAAAAGAGAGAGAGAGAGAGAGGGATGCTGCAGTTCATTCGTTGTGAGCTGATGCTGTGAGATGCTGGTAGCTGAGGCCAGGGACAGTTTGGGAATCCGCAGGAAAAGGAATGTTCACCACTGGAAGCTGTTATCCAGCAACAGCAGTGAAGACATGACTGTGGACATGGGGGGGGGGGAAGTAGAGAAGGCGCACACAACAGTGAACTCTAATAGTGTAGTCACACACTATATCTAAGAGTCCAATAAATCCAATCATCAATCCAAAATCCATCTATAGTCACATTCCATCATGTGATAATATATATTATTCCATATATTAATTGCAATAATTCTGCCAATTCAACAAACTGGCCAAAATATAATGAACACTCATTCCCATCTTCAACATTTTCAGTACTTCCAGTTGTTTTTTTCAGCGTTTTGGCCATTGCTCCCTGAGCATGGATAAAACTTCTGTTACACTATGTCACATCAACAGAGAATGGATCATCAATGGACTGACAAAATACTCTCAAATGTGTTTTAATTTATAAGTTCACAACGTACACAACTGACACAAACTGCCTCCAACAGCCACTGGCTGGCAAAGTTCACGGGTGTATTTTGACATGCCAGCACTTCTAGAATTACTTCTATTTGGCATAAGGAAAAATTGCCTGATCAGTGGAAGGAATCTATTATTGTACCAGTTCACAAGAAGGAACTGACTGTAGTAATTATCATGGGATATCACTGCTATCAACTTCATATAAGATTTTGTCCAATATTCTTCTTTCAAGGTTAAGCCCATATATAGATGACATTATTGGGGATCATCAGTGTGGGTTTTGACGTAACAGATCAATTACAGATCTGATCTTTTGCAGTCATCAGATATTGGATAAAAAATGGGAGTACAATGAGACAGTACTTCAGCTATTCATAGGCTTCAAGAAAGCGTATGATTCGGTTAGGAGGGAAGTATTGTACAATATTCTAATAGAGTTTGGGATACCTATGAAACTAGTTAGGTTGAATAAAATGTGTTTAAATGAAATGTATAGTAAAGTCCATGTAGGTAAATATTTGTCTGATAAATTTCCTATCCAGAATGGTCTAAAACCAGGAGATGCTTTATCATCACTCCTTTTCAACTCTGCCTTGGAATATGCAATTAGGAAGGTCCAGGGAAACCAGGTGGGACTGAAATTAAACGGGACACATCAGCTGTTGGTCTGTGCCGATGATGTGACTCTACTGGGTGATAATGTAGATACCATAAAGAAAAACACACAAACTTTAATTGATGCAAGTAAAGAGGTTGGTCTAGAAGTAAACACAGAGAAAACTAAGTATATGTTACTGTCTCATCACCAAAATGCAGGGCAAAATCATGACATAAAGATAGGAAACCGATGTTTTGAAATTGTGGCACAGTTTAGATATTTGGGAACAACGATAACAGATCGAAACCTGATTCAGGAGGAAATTAAGAGGCGATTGAACTCGGGTAATGCTTGCTACCATTCAGTCCAGAACCTTTTGTCTTCTTGTCTGCTGTCCAAAAACATAAAAATTAGAATACACAAAACTATAATTTTACCTGTGGTTCTGTATGGGTGTGAAACTTGGTATCTGACATTAAGGGAGGAACATAGTCTGAGGGTGTTTGAGAACAAGATATTGAGGAGAATATTTGGACCGAAGAGAGATGAAGTGACAGGAGGTTGGAGAAAACTGCATAATGAGGAGCTTCATAACTTGTACTCTTCTCCAAGTATAATTAGAATGATAAAGTCAAGGAGGATGAGGTGGGCAGCTCATGTAGCACAAACAGGGGAGACGAAGAATGCATATAGGATATTGGTGGGATGGCCAGAAGGAAAGAGACCACAGAGAAGACCAAGGCATAGGTGAGTGAACAATATTAGAGTGGATCTTAGTGAGACAGGATGGGATGGTATTGACCGGATATCTGGCTCAGGATAGGGACCAGTGGAGGGCTCTTGTGAACATGGTAATGAACCTTCGGGTTCCATAAAATGCTGTGAAATTCTTGAGTAGCTGCAGAATTGGCGGCTCCTCCAGAAGGGCTCAGCTCCATAAGTAAGTAAGTAAGTAAGTAAGTAAGCAAGCACTTCTAGTCGCGTACACACTTGTATGTTCTGTAGAATACAGCCGACTAATGGTCCAATGCCAATCTGACGCGCAGGTCAGTGTCAAAACTCAATCAAGCTGCTGGTCCACTGATTGCCCATTCCCTATCAGTGTTATTACATGCAGTGTGAATGGGCCTTACAAGTGTAATTTCTCACAGGACAGAATTACATTTATTTCCAATGATACATTACAATTTCAGATTAATTTGTTCATGCCCACTATACTTTCTGATTCTACAAAGGTATTATAATAAACTCCCAGTTATCCGAGCATTCAGAATTCTCAATGAAAATTTTCATTATAAAATTATTAAAAAACAAATATCTTATGTGCACTGATTCTTCCAGCTGTTGCTAGCAGCACCACCTGTTGTCCTCCCACACACCACTACAGTACACACTAGTTAAATCTGTGATCATGTTAGAGTATACATATAGAAAGTCTTTCACGAATCAATCTGCTGTCTCTCCTAGGAAGACTCCCACACAACGATTACATTGAGAATGTACTGCTACAACTATGCAATAGGTTTCTCAAATTTTTCCTATGTGATTAGCACATTCATGAAATGGAACACCTTATTTGCCATACATATCAGATAATGGGGAGTTTACTATAAATTCCATTATCTGCAGTTCCAATGAATTTACTAACCCATTGATTGTTGATGCCAGAAATACAAGATATGGTCCCAGCATGTTCTTAACATATGGCAGAGGAATGGCTGCTGCTTCATCAATGACAAGAAGTTCTGCTTGACCAAGTTTATGTGCATCTGTTGGGTGAATGTACTGAAAAAAGTGGGAACTGTAAATTACATTCTGATATGAAGCCAGGAAAAATATAATGAGATAAAGAAAACTGGACTGAAAGAACTAAGCAATCAATTGCATATTCTCATGTGATCATATCAATTCAGATAGAAAAAAAATGTCTTCTGACAAATTTAAGTTATTTCAAGGAGACAGAACCATTGACTTTTAGGGATCCTAAGGAACATCGGTTTCTTCTTCACAATCTGTGTTTACCTGAATTGTCTGTCGATGGTCTCTGAAAATATTGACTCGAACAACAGCTTTGTTAAATTCTGGATTTGTCGACTGGATGATGTCATAATCTAAATGTTCTTGGTATTCCAATGCATCAAAACCTAAAAGGAAGCAGTGCTTTGTTAAAAGTCCAACATCTAACTTCCCAAGTGGGGCATTAAGTTGTTATTACATGATCTGTCTCGACATATGGACATAATAACTTGTCTAAAAGCAATCACCCTATCGGAATAGGTTTATTTAATGTTTAAGAAAAGCAATGAAATGAATGTGTTATGCCATCTCTCAGCAGATATTTACTGTACTCATAAATATAAATTACATACTGCCATGAAAATATGCTATGAGAAATAGATTTCTTCAAATAAAACTCAGCTGAGATAACAGTTTTCTTAAGTTTGTTATCACATCGTGAATTCTGCAACAAGATATTAGAAATATAAATGTATTTTTTTTTTAATTTCTTGGGGTGGGGTGAGATTGAATTCACTTGGTATGTTGGACACTATTTGGCGTATTGTACCAGTCCTGGATGATAGATGATGATGAGTGTGAAGCAGTTCGTCATGAGTCTCAAGAGGCTTAATGCCAAGACAAACTGACTGATGGTAAACTGCCAATAAAGAAACTCTGACTTTGACTTTGACATTTGAGTCAATCTTGAGGTGCACTGTTAGCACCTGTTACCTAGCAATGACTGGTGATGACAGAATATCAAACATGAGACTTTATGTGTGCTACAGTTATAGTGTACTATAAAATGGGTAGATCACTCAGACAGTTATGGTTATTCTAAAGGGTTCTGACAATGGTGGATGACACACAGAATTACTGGGGTTTTGGACTTTTGCCATTGTCTGGAATTTTAGGTAACAGAGGACATGATGTTTTGGAAACTGGATCTGTTTAGCTTTTTCTAAGGGGACCAACTGAGTAGGTATCTTCCTTTCTCACCTGAAGGTGGAAACAGATCCTGTTTCCAAAATGTCGTGCCCTCTAATACCTAAAATTCCGGATGATGGAAAAAGTCCAAAACCCAATAATTCTGTGAGTTATAGGTATTTGCAGTTATAAGCCTTCAGTCAATCCAATTATCAATCCAAACCCCATGTCTGATCACAAATATGTGACAATATAAATATTGTGAATCAATTACGCTTACCTCTGAAAATAAATTCAAACAGTGTGGTGAGATTTTCAGGGCTTGGACTTGTAACAAAGATATTGGAATAGCCAAAAGCAACTGCTCCTGCCATAGCAAGTCCCAGAGCAGCTGACTTGCCTCTTCCTCGAGCAGCTGTCAGTGAAACAGTAGATCTCAGGGTCTTCTCTGACACAGCCTCAATAAATTTCAGAAGAGCTTTAGCCTGAAAAAATTTTGCATAAAATTAGTTTTTAATATCAGGAAAGTAACTGACATAAGAATATCAACATATCATGGGTATTATATGCAATCAAGAACACTAACACTCTTACTACCATGCATGATGCATGAGGCTATGCCTGAATTACCATGCCATTTTATAAAAATCCATTAACATGTACAAAACAGATCTCCGTGCACTAACTCAGTAACAGAAAAGTGCATAAACTCACACATTTGCATAGCTGTGCCATCTCCATAACAAATATAAGAACACTACATGAAAGATCGGCCTTTACGCATCAGCCAGATTGCATCATGGCAATCCTAGAACAACCTCTCTTGGTTAATTGGTAGCAATAATTTCAATTCAGATTCGCTACCATGTCTGTGATAATAGAATTTATACTGGATGCAGAAGGAACCTCACTAGCAAACTTTTTTTTCCTTGGCACTACAGCCCCAACGGGCCTAGGCCTACCTCCATGAACTTCTCCGTTCACTTCGGTTTTTCAAGATCTTAGACATATGGTAGGACTCCTTGGGCGGGTGATCAGCTCGTCGCAAGGTCTCTACCTGTACACAAACACAGAAAACGCATACAAACATGCATGCCCTGAGTGGGATTCGAACCCACAAACCCGGCTTCCGAGTGAGTGAAGACAGTGCACGCCTTAGACCGCTCAGCTACTGTGACTGGCCACGAGCAAACTACCTCTTAAAAATTCAATGAGAAAATTTAACATTTCTCATCTCTAACTTCAGTGTCCATAATTATAATTCCAGTGATCTGTTCTCAGAAGTTATAGGCCTTTAGAGACCCTCTGGAATCACATTATAACTGAACATACACACTAATAGTTTGAAAAGCTCTGGAAAGACAGCCTGATAAAATAAACATGATAATATTACCACCATAAACCCAACATCAAGTCACTAGCACATAAAAATATATTATTCTGCTGTATTTGAGAATCATTTTTGGGCAGTACTAAATACTAAAATCCAGATACCTGGTCCACAGTCTTACAGCAGTTAACAAGAACACCAACAGGCTGCGTATCCTGCAGACTTTCTTTTAGGTCTGCCAGTTCCTGTTCACTTGGAGGAGAATCAGGTTTTCCTTCTGGGTCCACCTTAAGATTATGAGATGAAATGGGAAGCACATTAAGCTGATCATCCACCACTAAGCAGCGAGGACATGAGGCAAGAGACAGCAAGAACCTAAAATATAATCAGTAGTCATGTTATATAGTGTCATCATGAGCGGCCTCCGTAGTCTAGGGGTAATGTTCCCACCTCATGACTCAAGGTAAGCGGGTTCAAACACGGCGGAGGTCATGGAATTTTTAAGGGCGGAAAAATTCAGGGAACAAGTCCACTGGGAGGGACTTTAAGCCGTGGGTCCCGTGTCATAGATTTACAGCATGTAAAAGATCCTCATGTCTCTAGGAGACCTCTGAGCAAAATTAGGCAAAAAGTTTCCCGCCCAAGTAGTTTCCAATGCCTCCGGTAGATGGGGAAGTTATCGGGTACCACTGCCAGAATAGGGCAGACCTCGCTGGCAGTAAGGGGCAAAGAGTGAGCACCAGTACCGGTAGGGTATGGCGACAGTAGAAATTAAAAGGGGGATGTACAATAGACTACTAGTCACAGTGCATGGGGAAACCCACCCCCTCTAATACTGAATAACTGAATAGTGTCATTATTATTATTACTGATCTTAAGTGTGCTATTCTTTTTGTGTTAGGGCAGTTCCTCTCACCATATACAATTTCCAACCTGGAAGACCAGCCTGCACAAGATTCAAACAGCCAAAAGAGTAAAACTATTGGAAATTCACCACAGAATGCCTACAGGCCTGCTCACCCATGTCATTAAACACTTTAAGCTGCCACCTAATACTAATTTCAGATTTCAGGTTCTTACACTGCTGACTATGAAGATTGTCTTTTGGGATGTGACACTATGTAGCAGAGTAGATATTTACAAACATTTTGGAAGAACCTGCTACTTCTGTCTTCTGGGTATCTGAAGATTGACACAGCAAGTATGCAAGTGTGTGTGTGTATAACAGGTCTTATATAACTATATATTTTTTTGTTACTTTTACTGAATTCAGCTTAACATGTTACAACATATTTTTGTACACAGAATGTCTCATAAAAATAAAAGGCAGTGTAATGTTCTGAGCTCTCAAAACCAAAGAACTATATATCTTTGCCCAACCTCAATACACAATGTGCATATGACATGCTACAGATACCCTCTGACCATGATCTAAGAACAGAGAATAAGGCCCCTTCCACAGTAATGTATTTTACTGAATATATCCTCAGATCTGGCTGTCATCATGAATTCACTATCAACATCATCTGCTTGTATTTCACTGCAAAGTATAGTGAGTTTCAGATTGTTGTCTTCTGGGTTCTGACACCATGTAGGGTTGTAGGCAGACACTGATATTCCAGAGGAACATGCTGACTTTACCTTCAGAGTTGACATCTGTACAGTAAGGAATCAGTTGGGTTATACTGACAGGCTGCAAGGAAGGCAGTCACTGAGATCCACAGGAGGGGTGAGGAATCACAACTCCAACTGGGCCAACATACTCTGTTATAATAATTTGTTCTCACCGTTCATTGAAGCGTCCAACAACATCATTGTGTGCTTCAGTACGATAGCGTTCATGAACATCCATGCTCATGGTATAAAGTTGTTTCAATGATGTTACTGTCTGTAGCAAAAGAACAATCAATCCCCCACCTTCAATTGTCTCTACTGTTCTTGCTAACAGGTTTGGAGTCAGGGTTTCAAAGTCTTGTAACACACACATACCGTATGTGTTTCCAAGTATTTTGTGAGTTTCTGAATAGTAACAGTATCGAATATTTGTAGATGCAACAAATAATTCAAAAGGGTCATCTTCATTAACATTCACTTTGCCACTCTTTATTTTACGCTGAAGACTTTTCATCCTCTTTTTCCGATGACTACTGAAGCCAAGGTCTTTCTTATAACACCACAATATATTGGGCCTTGCTTTAACACACGCTTTAGAGAGCATGTGATGTAAAATGACAACCTGAAACAAAACAAGGACTTCTCTTAGGATTTACTTTATTTATTTGTATTTTATTCAACACTGCCAGTAACTCAAACTATATAGTGTAAAATCATTTGATCATGAATAATGAACTGGAAAGGATTTGTAAGGAAGTGGTCATGCCTAATTTGAGGTATTATCCTGGCCTTTGTCTGGAAGGAATGAGGAAAACAACAACAAAAAAATTCATTCAGGATAGTTGGTGTCCTGGCCTACATTCAAACCAAGCACCTTGCAAATATTCCACATGAGAATCACTCATGGCAACATATATGTTAAAACTGGTTCACTTTGCTTACTTCACCTCCGTACTGCCATGTGGTCTAATTTTTTTTGGAAACTCAACACACAAAAAATAAAGTATTTAACATCCAAAAGAAAATAATAACAATAATGGCAGGTGCTAAAAGCAAATTCTTTTGTAGAACATTATTTAGGAAATGTAGTATATTTCAGTTTGAAAGTGAATACCTGAAACTTGAAAAATTTCATAGAAATATAGATGCACATCATTTAAAAACAAGGCATAAATATGACGTTCACATTGAAAATGTTAACCTCACCAAATATCTGGGAGAAATATAGTACACAGGTATCAAGTTATTCAGTAATCTTACACTTACAATTAAGACCTTATATCATAAGCATATTCAAGCCCACATAAATGATTACCTCTTAACTTACTCCTTCTATTCTGTAGATGAATTTATCCCTAATGAAAAATGTTATGCCTTATGCATATCAGTATGTGAAATAAGATTTGTTTCATATTTGTTTAAAAATTCTTAAAGTTTGTGTATATTTTTATATGAAGTAAGTTCCTGCACTTACATATATATTAGAGCACAATAGATCACTGAAGGTCACAGTGTAGGGGCCAGTTTTGTGGCCCACCCTTACATACATATGTTATAACATATTCTATAACCTTTGGTTCAGCTCAAAAAAGAATCTATGGTGTGCAAATCAACTCCATCATACTCTACTCTATTCAAGTAGTAAATGCAAATTTCAGAAAAGAAAAATTCTAATCCTGTCACAGGATATGCTCACATCTACATCATTTGTGTAATTTGTAGCTGAAGAGACTCACAAGCCTTTGATAACTGATACTGATATCAGTGAGATTAAATTGTGGCGATTTCAAGTTGGAATCACAAATTTCAATCCTGATAAATGACTGTGTTCATAGTACCTTAAATTATGTCAGACCTGGTTCATCCCCAAACGTTTTCACCATTCATGCTCATCGTATGATTCAAATACCAACACTATATAATCTCTGTATACTGCCATTGACCTAAAACTAAATTAAATAATACGTCTGGTTTTTACAGCTGTTAAAATGTTGACTGTGAAGATGGAGGCAGCATCCTCACCGAAACGTTGCCAAATTCCTACGAGACTACACGGTATCAACCCAGCAGTCCGCAATCTAAACCTCTTCCCTGCAAATGCAATTCGTTCTGACCAAAGAAATAAAACCTACTTACTTGATCTCGTCCCTTATCTCCAACAACCACAAACATTGTTCGGTGTCCTAGAGTTACACCATTTTCAATTAAAACTCTTACACGGTTATCTATTTTCTTCCTCACCATTATAAAGATTACAAATAATTTCAGCACCTACTACTAAACCACATGTACCTGACTACCTGGTCTTCGTGCCGAATCTCAATACTTTCGATATCTCGTACGATTTCGCTCTAAAAGCCAGTTGATGTCGGAGATGTCAACCACGGTTTATAGATGACAGTCAACTGTAGAGCGGATTACCTATACACCGCTGTAAACCATAGCTTCATGGCAAGTACATAAACGTTCGTAAACTTCTTCGAGGTAGGCCATGAACCTACTCGGAAACAATGATGGAGGAATCGAACGCGAATGGAAGACTTTTCGAGCAGAATATCCGTTAAGCTGTTGCAAGAGATTCGTAGTTTTTGGCGCTGTTACTAATCATCAATTTTTGACTGAGAACATTTATTACGTTTTAGTAATTTTGCTCGTGAGTTCAGGAGGCTAATAAGCGGCGTATTCAAACGAATGCACCAATACTCCTGTTTTATTTCGCGTAGTGGGCGAGTCGAAATTTTGACGTTCGTGAATCCGTGATTTCTCTTCGATTTTTGGATAGCAGATATACTGAAATGGCCGGTCCATGTAACTTTGTGTATTAACTTACTAATAATGTATTATCAGAAATAAATATTGAGAAGTGTGTGTTCTTTTTAATATGCTGTCGCTTTGAAGTTCTTCAATCTTAGGCCATGCCTTGAATGGTTTTTTTATTGCACGTATGCGGATCGAATATATGTAATATAAGTGCGGGCATCCCCTAGAAATGGAGACTGAGGAACGGCAGGAATTGCCTCCACCCCAATCAGTTTTAAAACAGGAGGTTGATGAAATTGCAGTTGAAAACACTGAGCAACATGTGGAGAGACCGGACAACGAAGTGAGTGAAGATGCTGCCCCAAGCCCAACAACAGGGGATGAACCACCAAACAGTCCATGGAACTGTGTTAAATGTATATTTTGCCAGCATACAGTTACTGCTGGAGATAGTCCAAAACTTTTAGAGTGTCTACATACAGCTTGTACTTCATGTGTGTCTTCTAAATTAACTGAACAAAATCAACTAGATGGGGAGGTTGTAGGTAAGTGAGGTCAACGTATGATTATTATTCCCCTGCATTAATAAATAGAATTTTTCTGCAGTGTCAATTCTTGATAGCAGGCCATGTAAGTAAAATAGTTGCTAGTAGTTGTGCAAGACACTGAGAAAGGAAAGATAAAGGAAAAGGTACTTCATATTATCAACATATTGAATGTGACAGCTTACCGTCATCTCTGTCATATGCATTCAGAAGGCTTACAGTTTCTTTATTTTAAATGCAGAAGTAAAGTAAGTGTGTGTGTGTGATTAAGTTGCTACTGTGCATGCAGGTCTTGGCAGACCTCAGCAATAATTTATCATGGTGCATGAGAATATTCCATTGTACCATTGTTTATTTGTAGTATTAAAAAGTAGCAGTCCTTCTGCAATGCTTGCAATCTTATATGTAAAGCTCAGACATTGTAAGTTAAATGTCTGGAGATTCTGTTATTTTGAAGGTAGGATTTATGCCGAAATGACAGATGCTTTGTTGTTGCATAGGGAAAAAATTTTGGGCAGATGCAGACATTTAAGCAAGGAATGTAAGACCCAGTTAGTTAAAGAAATGAACAATATACTTATAATGGCAAGAATATATTTGTTATGAAGTAGCTCATAGCCTGTTTGAAATTGATCTTAGAGAAATAGGGTGAGGTAGTCACAATAGGGACTGCTGGCGGGCACATGTGAACATGGTGATGAACCTTTGGTAGCTTCTCAAGAAGTACTCAGCTCATCTGTAGTTAGTTCTTAACTGTTCAATGAGTACAGACATTGTGTTATTCACTGTCAAACTTACTGTATGCAGTATGAATGTAACTCTACTTATTCCACTTTTTGTGCCGTATAAAGTGTGAACATATAGCATACCTTTACTTTGCTGCCAACCAATAGCTGCTAATATTAGTGTGAAAAATACATGCTCACAAAGCTTTTAGGCCCCTTAAAGTTCAGTCTTCAAATGGTTAATGTACTGGGGACTTTTAAAATTTATTGCAGAGCATTCTTCAGTATGGCTGAAGCTGTTTTGAGGAACAGCTGAAAACAGTCATTTTGATTTATTTTATGTCTGGAATTATTTGTTAGTGTAAACAAGAAGAAATCCATACACAAGCGAGATAAGATTTAGATTCAGTGTGCATAAGCACAGAGGAATGTCATAATATTTTGTCACCAATTACAAATAAAAATATTATTGTTTCCCAGTGTATCAGTTTTAAATATTTTTATTTGATTTAGTAGTCCATTTAGTTCACTGTCTTGTGTAACTGATATTGTATGTTCGTCTTGGTTTGTACATGTTAGGCAACGTCTACACAAGCGCACAAAATACATCCATTGTAAGGAACATCGTAACGTCCATTGTAGAAATAAACAAGAGAGGCGAATGCTATGCTTTCTTCTGGCTCCATTGCAGACAAAAAACTATGCACCACATTCTGCAACTGTGTGGTGTCCTCAGCAACATCCGTCATAATGTACGTCCGTTACAACAGACGCATTTTATGCGCTCATGTAGACGCTCCCTTACCGTTTTTAAGAATTTGTGGGTTATTATGTAACTTCTGAAAACTCTTTAAAAAGTTTCTAGCACCTTATGTATGTGTGTACATACATATATGGATGTGCATGTACTCAAGCATATGTGTGTGCACACATTTTCACATTCTTGTAGCAGCACTCAGTAACTCACTTTCCTTCAGGTTCAGAATTCTTATTATATTTTCATGACACACTTTTTACGATATGTATGTTACATTTTGTTTCAAGTAAAGAAATTTAAGGGTGAGACAAGTTTAGTGTGAGCAGACTGTGCATTACTTTACCATTACAGCATCAAGTAAAATCATATTAATATAGAAAACTAAAATTTGTATAGTGTTTTATTCAGAGTAAATATGCAATGTTGAAACATGTATTAGTTGCACAAACTGCCACCTGTGATTGATACAGCAACTGAAATTTGTATGACATATTTAAAGAAAATCAGTGCTGTCGATGAATAAGTGATGCTTTAGATGTGACCAATCATATTATGTATTTAAGCTTTCACTTTTTGTAGGCTGACATATTTGGTCATACATCAAAAACAGGCACAAAATCCAGCCCTTTCATAAACATGTGAACAGCTGTATCAGTTTTATTGTGTGTGAAATGAATGATGTGACTATTTGAAACCAAATGTGTGACTTAGATTGTGAACTCCGAGGTTGTGACACTGTGTAGTCATGTAGGTGTTTACCAATGTTGTGGAGGAACCTACAGGGTAAAAGCTAGTCAAGCTGGGGCACATATAGATTATATAGGAAGGGTGGGAAATCAAATCATGCAGAATAGGAGGATTGGCCAATCAGAACCAGGCATGGGGAGAGAGGAGATGGGACCTTGGGCAGGCCAATGGGAACTGAGGCCCTGAAAATGGCAGGGGTCCTACAGGTGCCAACTATATAAGGGCAAAATGCCCTGAAAAGAGCAACTACAAAAGGACCCCTGTAAGAATGGCAGAATGGCAGAGGAAAGCCTTGTTATGAATTTTCCTTCAAAAGAGTATTCTTCCATTTTGTCAGGGTCTGGAGAAGAGGGTTCCACTACCTATTTGAGGAGAAATTGTTGTTCCTGTTCAACTGAATCTGTCACTTACCTGATAATCTGGTCCAAGTGTCAGGAATTTTTGATCAGGCTGCTGGTGTCCTACAGCAGCATGTGGTACCCCACATTAATGCTGTGTTCTGCTATAGCTGACATACCTGGGTGATAAAGAAGGATCAAGACATGTAGTATGAGCTACTGACTGCATCGTTAAATAAACCTTAAATAAATGTATAAGATGAAGATGGGTGTACTGTCTGATCTTGGCGCCAGTGAAGTGTCCAGTCTGTCCATTGTAAAGTGTCCCATGCTTGCTTTACATTACCAGTGTCAATGACTAGGTTATCTTTCACAGACTAAAGGAATGTGGATAGTCATCATGAAAGAGCCACAGTTTTGATGTTATAATTAGATAGAATCATGATAATGTGCTTGAATCTGTCAGATGCTATAGTCATTGTATCTGAACATTCTGTGCTGGAGGAATTCCGTTTCATTATGCAGGCCCTCTTGGTTGCAGATGGCTTTGGCTGTGTGTGCCACTGTGAAAAGAACAGGCATCTTGTTTGCCAGATGATGATACAACCTACCATTCAAATAGGGGTGGGTGGTGCGGGTGCTCTTCCTTTAAACTCTGTGACCCAAGGAGCCATGTGGTCTTGTGTACACACCAGTGTCAAGGAAAGGGAGGTGGTCGTGTGTCTCCCTGTCTCTCGTGAACTTGATGTTGTGGTGGGTTGTTCATGTTGTCTGGGAAGTCCTTCAGTTATTCCAGCTCATTAGGTCAGATTATAAACATTTCAACATAACAGAACCAGCAGATAGGCTTATGGGTTGCCCTGTTGAATGTTGGCTCCTCAAAATCTTCTGTGAAGATATTGGCGATCATAGATGATGGTTGCAAATGCATGCCCATTTCATCCATTTGTTTGTAGAACTAACCCTTGTAACACACAAATGAGGATTTTAGGGCATGGCAGAATAATCACAGTATCAGCTCAAGAGATTCAGGTCATACCTTATTGGCAACATGAAGAAGAATGGAACAACATCTCTTCCTGTGAATGGTTGTATATGAGAGCTGAAATATTCATGACAGGTCACGGTGTAAATTTCCTGTGTGTGCTGGAACTCTTCCTAAGTCTGTCTTGTTTCAGATTTCAGAATTGGTGTTGGTGTTGATTCTGTATTACTCATTTTCCTGCCTTATATTTTACTGTACTGTTTCAGAAAACAACGTAATTGTATGTACAGTTTGCCGAGTACACTGTCGTGCCAAGAACATAATAGAAAATCAGTTTCTTCTGGAAGCTGGTAGTGAGGCAGAGAGTGTACAAAATGAATCCAAAACGTGTGACTTAAAGTGTACAAGCTGTCAAGTTGAAAATGCTCTTGCTACTAGTTGGTGCGTTGATTGTGCAGAATACATTTGTGATGGCTGTGTTCAGGTAGGTTACATGTGTGATGAGTGATTGGATCACAATGACCGGTCACATTTACCAGTTCCATACATATGGGAAATAAAATCTCCAGTAAGTTAAGCTTCCTAGACAGATTTTTTTTTTCTCGATTTGTTTTGTTCTTCTTCACACAGGCACATCAGAGGCTTAAAATTACAAAGGAACACACCATAAAACCAAAGGAGGAAGCAGAGCAAGAAAACCATGCTTCAGCAAGCAATAGTTCGCCCAAGAATCTGTATTGCTCCGTTCATCGGCAGGTAAACATGGAGTGCACAGATTGTATGTTTGGTTTATTTGTAAGGACTGGTGGTTAGGAAATTTTCATCCCCCTTTACTTGCATTGTTACACTTTTTTGTCTTTTGAGATACAAGAGTGCATAATGCAACAACAGCACAGTGTCAGTTCCATTCAAACCTCCACAGAGACAACATTTGTAGCATAACATATACAAAATCCTACACATACTTTAAGAAACCACCATGACAACTGCAGGGAGTTTCTTACCTTTGTTGTCCAGTTCACAGTTCTGCGCTTCATGGCAACTGTTGCACCACCGGCTGTGAGGAGCATATGAATTTTGCTGATGAATGCCTGATGGCCAATAACATTCTGAACAAAGTAGTTACAATTCACAGATCACAGGAGGTGTTGAAAATGCTGTCCCTCTACATGTAGATATATTTCACAATTAATTGTTGTGTTAAAAAGAAATGCAGGTACAACAATCATCGCGTATAACACACCAGACACCAACTTTCACTGAATGGAGCAGGACTTCATGGGTTAGATGTGGCTTCTGTGAACTCCAGTAGCGATTATTTTGTGTATTTATGTATCCCTGCATGTGAAACCACTCGTCATCAGAAAAGGGTGTCAGTATGGGATTGGTCTTATCTTCAACGGCAGATTGTAAAAACCAACTGCAAAAACGAACCCTGCTAGCTAAATTGCATGGTTGGAAGGCACACGTGGATTACTGTTGTTTCATTTGGTCTAAGCTTCAGCAGTTGTGTTGCCATTCTTGCACTAGACTTAGACACTCCAGTCTCTTGAGGTAGACATTTCTGTGATTTTCTAAGCGTGAGTTCAATTGTGGCCCCTGTCATTTAACTTCTCCTTAGTAAGCACTTGGGGCTTATGTTTATTGTTTCTTGTCTATTAAAGAGTCCCACTGTTGTCAAGCAGTCCAGAGAGTTAATGACCTCCCTTAATTCCAAACATTATTGGCTGTCAGGCATACTGATTCATCAGCAAAATTTGTATGTGCCTCGCAACCAGTGGTGCACAGGTCGCCATGCAGAACAAAACCATGAACCAGTCAACAAAGATAAAAACCTCCCTGTTTATATAACTATATCATAATTATGATAATCATCTCTACAGCCTAAAATCACCAGATTCTTAGAAGGGAGAATGCATAACAAGTTCAGTCTGTCAGAGGAGAACACTACTGTGACTATGACAGCAGTTGAGCCTTCATCATATATAATGAACGACCTCATACACACACATGCACATGCGCACACACGATTAATAGTACATACACCCACAACATGTAGTCTGCTACTAAATTTTTATGTTGTAGCACAACATCGACATGTAATGATTTTAACCACTGTAATCTTTATATTTTACATTTCACATTGCTATCGCATACCCAGTACTTACCTTGTTTTATTTATTTTGTTATATCTTTTCAGCAGTTACATTGTGTTTGCACCTCCTAAAGTTACTCATAGCTGATGTTTTTTAAATTGTACAACCCACTCCCCTTTTTTTAATTCAGCATGCTCTGAAAGTAGTGTCATTTGCTTACTCAAAATGTGTAGTTGTTGCATCAAGTGTCATTCATGAAAATGTAATTTATTTTATTGTTTTTGGGATGTTTCAGGAGAGTCTTTCTCTGTTTTGTGAAACGTGTGACAAACTGACATGTCGGGATTGTCAGCTTACTGACCACCGTGACCATAAGTACAAATTTATCCATGAGATAGCAGAGGAAACAAAGAATATGATAAGTGGGCTTTTATCTGAAGTCAGGTAATTATGTTTTGCTAATCTTGTAGATGATATATGTTGTTATTCTTTGAAAGTCGAATCTTGACTATATTGCCAGCAGTTGATATGATGAAAGCTTGCAAGCGTCAGTCAAAGTCAGTGACCATTAATTTAATTTAATTTTTTTAATTTCTTTGGGTGGGGTGAGAATGAGTCTACTTGGTACATTGGCCACTATTTGACCTATTGTACTAGCCCTGGGTGATAGATGATTATGAGTGTAGAGCAGTTGGTGGATTGAAGATTGGCAGGGGAAACCAAAATACTCAGAGAAAACCTGTCCCAGTGCCACTTAGTCCACCACAGATTCCTCATTACCTGACCTGGGATCAATCCCGGGCTGCCGCAGTGGGAAGCCAGCAGCTAACCACCTGAGACAATTGCATGACCAACCATGAATTAAGTTATGAGGAACTTGATGGTGGTTACCAGTGAATTAAATGATTTTCTTTCTGCAACTGTGAAAAATATCTGAAACTTTGTAAGGAAATAGTTGTTTTCATAAAAGTGTTGAGATTAGTTGTTGAACACTGAGATGGAATTTTTTGTTATGTGGCTTTGAGGCCAACCCAACCCTCTGTCTTATTGGCTGTTTGAACAGTAAATAATATTGTATAAACATATTACATAATGTAAAGAACAGTATTCTATACCTTGCATGTTATGTGATGGTAAGTGGAGTGCTGTGGAGTAGTTACAGTGGTGTGGGTAGATGTATGCTCCTGTCGAAGAGTGTGTGGAATGTTGAATTTTTATGTGACTGGTGATGTGAGACAACAGTTATTCACCCGTTCATGTGAACCTCTGTTCTGCTTTCCACATTAAACTTGAAAAGTAATATCCAGTATTTCTACAGATTCTCCACAAGAAACATGATGTTTTAAAGTCAGTACATGCCACATTCATATTCTGTAATAATGCTCTTCTTAACAGCTACAAAAGAGTTCTCCTCACAAGTGCCATGAAAGTCATCGATGATCGACAGTCTCTCATTTTAGAAAAGAAGAAGACACTGGTGAAAGAAATTACTGCCATGGTTGTGAAGTGAGTATGAACACACTTTTATAGTGAAATCTTCCTGCTAAAGGGAACACAGATAGGACACAGCAAAGAAGTTTATAACTTCGTTTACTAGAGACTGACGGAAAATATGAAAAATTTCAGTTAGATTTGAGGCTCTCACAGTGGTGACAGTGAAGAGTACCACCTTCTTGGATGTGACACTGTGTAGTCCATTAGAATTTCACTAACAGTTTGGAGAAACATGTTACCTCCATCTGAGGATCGAGGAAAGAGCCAAGCAAGGAGAGTGCTCTGCTTGCTTCTTGCTGGGTGTGTTTAACTTATTGTGTGACCCTGAAGAAGGAGGCAGTACTTCGTTCCAAAACGGTGGTGAACTTCTACCACACTACATGGTATCACATCCCCCTCTTCAACTTCAGTTAGGATATGTCATCTCCTGGCCAGGATACAAACCAGTCACCTTTTGAATACAAGTCTAGAGTTGTAAGATTTGAGGCTTTCACGGCGGTGACTATGAAGAATGCAGNCTAGAGTTTATTGCTAGAGCAGCCTGCTCAGTAAGATGTTTATAAATGGTTTGGAAGGGGTAGTCAATGCTGTTTAATGGTACTAACCAGGCATTTATCCAGAGAGACTTAGGAAACTCATGAAAAGCCCTAGTCAAGACAGCTCATTTTCAGTTAACTGGGCATGTCCTAAATGCAGGACTAGAATGTTACCACTTCACTTATATCCTTATTAGCGTAGTATTATGATGTAAGAAATGTGTCTGTAGGAAGAAACAGGCATTGAAATCTGCATGATGTTGCTTTCAGGTTGACAAATACAATCAATACCCGAGGAAAACAGCTGGTTCTGCAGCTCACTGAAGTCTGTGATGCCAAACAGAGAACTCTTAAGGATAAAAAAGTTGCTTTGGAACAATTATCCAATCTCACTGATCATTGTATTGATTTTGTTAACAATGCACTAAACAAAGGCAGTGACATGGCTTTACTTTATAGCAAAAGGTAATATAGAACCACTATAACATAAGTTACAGATGTGCAGTTCACATTTCACCCAGCATTTTTATTATTCCTGGTAAATAATGATGTGCATTGTCATACTACAAGATGTTGTCTTAAGAAGTTGGTAAGAGGGAGGGCTCCACTGATTTAAACTCTGGCTCTTTGTAGTGTGCCCTAACTGAGTAAGGATCATTCCTTCTCTGTACCTGGTGATGGAAAGAGAACCATTTTTGGAAACTTTTTGTTTGAAAATTTCAAGGGATAGGCTGTGCCCAAAATAGTAGTCATTTTTGCTGTAATATGCTGTCATCAGGAACATTTAGACTTTGCTTAGAGTACACTTTGGGGGATGAGGCACTGTCATAATAACAGGTGTACAAGTGGTGTACTGCATTCGAGGACAGCCATGACATAATGAGTAATCTCCCCAACTTTCACAGACACCTGTCATATGAACATTGGCAGAGTTCAGAACCATACTAAGGTGGAGCCAAGACATGTAGGATTTGAGGTTTCCACACAAGTGGCTATGAAGAGTACTTACTATTATCTGTGATTGAGCACCGTTTAGTGCATTGGACATCAGCTGACGTTTCAGATGAAAATATCACCTTCATTTTTAGGGGTGCAAAATAATCCAAGCAAGAAACAACCTGCTTAAACACTCCTATCTTGCTCATCTTATTCTTCGACCCTGAAGATGGAGGCGATATGCTCCTCCAAGATGTCTGTTGACTTTCAGCAGGCTACATTGTGTTATGTCCTAGAAGATACCACTCTTCGAGTCTAAACATGCTCTGTTAAATATGAAACATCCTTTTTTATACATCTCTGCAGAAGCTAAAAATCCATCCTGTCACATAGTGAGGATGATCTGGATGACCTGAGATGCTGAATTTGTGTTAGTTATTTCTATAAGCTTCTTTTGAAATGTTTCGTGTTTGCTTTGCTATGCTATGGTAATTGTAAAACTGTTAATTCCTAAGAAAATGGCTTGGATTCAGCTTCGTATGCAACATCATATTCTTTGCTGCCTGAATGATTGTCAGATCAAGAAGGAATATTTTAAGAGGTAAATTACAGTTGAATTGTAATATTTTTAACCTACAAAATGTACTTGTTCGACACTTTAGCATGCCAGTGGCAGATACTTTTAATATATGATTGGTCTTTTTATCTAGGACTGTTACCCATCACCTTCAAAGGATCAAGAGTAGAAGAGCTGATATTCCAAATCCTGAAATACCAGTCAGGATTTCAGTAGCTATGGACAAATTAAATGATCTTGTTAAAGGTAAAGTAATGTTATATTTTATTTCTAAGTAGCATAAAGTCTGTTGAAAGTTTAACGGGAAATTGTTAAAAATAAATTTCAGTAAAAGAATCCAAACCAAACATGAAAGGTTTTGGGAAAGACAGGTACATATTGTAATATGTTCATGACTGGACACAGGATTTGGATTGGAAATTGGATTTATTAACTACTTATGACTCATAACTAAAAGTAATTTTAACACTGCCACTAATTTACACACACTACACATCACTAGAACACATGATGTGTTTCAGTCTGTTATAGCAGTGTTTCTTAACTGTTGGGCTGTGGCCTGATACTGGGCCCTCATCTAATAAAAAATATTAATTTACCAGACAGCAGTCTCACAAAGGTTGAGAACCACTGTGATATAGTCTCTACTACTCGTTCCTTCATTACAGTCTTCATTAGGCATCACTATGTTATGGCATTTATTAATGGAACGTCTCTCCTTCTGGGCACACATCACAGCTGGCTTGCAGCTCAACTATAAACTGCACTTCATGGCCTGCTAGCCATCACTCAGTCAGTCAGTCAGTCAGTCAGTCAGTCAGAGTCACAGCTACTTTGTGATGGGCAGTTTGCCGCCAGTCAGTTCTTTTTGGTTCACTTGTTTACTGGGCCATTACCAAGCAATGAACGATTTTTCAGGCATCGTATTACAGTGTAGACTAAGATACCAAACCTGAATGGACAATATACTGCTTGCGTCTAGATGGAATCTTTCTGGCACATCTTGCTTATAAAAACAAACTTTGTGAAAAATACCTAACCTCTTTTTCTTTATACTCACAACAGAGCATCACAAACAACAGGGATCCATTTCCTTTCTTTACAACTTTATGAACCATAACAGTCAGTGGTTGAGTGATTTGGCTGTCAGATACAAAGTAAACACTGTTAGACACACAAACTCCATGATTTTAGTCTGCAAGCAAACTGTACTGACCAAGCAACCGCCACTTTTCGGCAAAGTTTAGTGCCAACTTTTTTATGGATAGAGGATTTCGCGTGTTCAGCGCAACGCATCCCCACGGCCTTTAATTTTCGGTTTTCTAGACCGCTGTTAGACACATAAGTTTCACTAATAACTATTGTTTTGACGTTATTACCATGCATTTCATTTTCTCCCAATGTATATTTTTCAGTCATCTCTTGTATTAATACACAGCCTCATTTTATTCTGAAACATTTGAAGTAGGTTTTGCCCTTCTCTACCTACAGTGTCCACACAGAAACGCTCTATTGATCCACTTATGTACATTAAATCATACGTTCATTGAATATTTACACTATAATCAATAGGAATTTATTTTTGGCAAATGTTGAGACTTCATTGGCAACTGAAACACAGCTTTCAGTTGTGGACAGAATCAAGATATGCAGACCTTAAGCTTCAATAATAAGAATAGCTCCATAGTTATGGCAGAGCTCGTGTAGCTAGATATGGCTTCCCAGCACAGAAGCCTAGGTTCAGACCATGTTGAGATACTATATCCTTGTCTTCCGAATGTACAATTTCAGTCGTGTCAAATATTGGTGGCATTGTTGTTGATGGTCGCATCTACACCTCTCCTGGTGCCGCCTTAGCCTCAGGCCAACTACCTCCACCATACCCTTATCGTCAACAGCAGCAGCAACAGCAACAACAGCAGCAGCAACCACAACAACAACAACAACAACAACAGCAGCAGCAACAACAACAACAGTAACAACAACAACCTCAGCAACAGCACAGCTTCCACTCATATTCCCACCATTCTGGGACCCAAGTTCCAAGCCTTCCACCTCAACAGGGACAAGCAGTTCATCCCTTACAACAAAACAGAGTATCACCACATCTACACCAACAGCCAAACAGCCGTGTATCTCCTCATCAAGCTTCAGCTCACCAGCAGTCAACTCATCAGTCACAACAGCAGCATCAATTGCCACCCCCTTCTGCCGTTTGCCTGGTCGGTGGCCAAGTATCCCGTAACCTGAATGTACTCCGACATGGAGCTCCTGGTTCCATACAGCAGCAACAGCCACAGCAGGTGAGCTGTAACAAATACACTTGTTACATGGTTGTAACTAGACATGGGGTTTGTATTGGGAATTGGATTTATTGAACACTTACAACTCACAACTACAAATCATTATAACACTTACTGATGTACACACTTCACAGTTTACTACTGTGAACATTAGGACTTCTGCATCTCATATAGTCTTCACTAGGCATTGCTAGGTGGCCACTCCCAGCAGTGATTATTCCTTTTCTTCTCTGCTCATATCCTTACTGGCTGTCAGCTGTCTCACAACCTGCTGTCTGTCTGTCAGTCTGTTTGGTAAATTGCTATTGGGCCTCTCCAGGACAGTTATTCTTGGCTCCAGGTCCTGTGGAATTTATGACCATATTTTACTGTCTCACAGCTCTGGGAATCATACTGCTATCTCCCTCCCACTCACTCACTGACTTGTCCCATTGGTTCTCATTATATAGCCTTAGCATGACCTGCACAGAAGACTCTGCTTCCGGGAGTTCTTCTAGTGTTGTGTGCATATCTGTGGCCATGGGAGTGTGTTTACCATCTAATTGCATAGCAGTTTCTGCCTATTCTGGCTTTCAGCTGTCGTGTCACAGTATGATCCCATACAGTTTTTATTGCAACATATATGCAAACAAATAGCTTAGCCAGAGAACAGTGTTGCGTGTGTATCAGTGATTGTGAACTATTGCACAGGCAACATTCTGAAAAAATTACAGGGCACTCATATATTGTTTCAAAGAAATCTTTTTGTAAAAAATCATAATTATGTGTAGGTGGTATGAAATTTGTGTTCTTATATAGACATTTTTCTTCTTCGGGTTTTAGCATGATGCCATAAAATGGTTCTCTGTTCCTGGTGTGTAGAATCACAGGGTGCTTTGCTGTTGCACATAGTTATCATTTTACCCCTGTCTTATGGAAAATAAAAAAGTACTTTCATCCTAAAGCCATGTGTGTCAGCCTCCCTTCCTTCATTCTCCCTCTCCATGCAATCTTTTCTCTTAGCCCATTAATATGATATTTGTCAAATTTTGTTAAACATCATATTACCATGCAGCATGAAAATGTGTAGAAAATGTTCCTGCCATCTTCCATTTTTTCTGTTGTGCATGTACTTGACTTTTATATTTAGTATAAATTCTCCCCTCCTTGTTTTTTTGGTCTAGAAATTGTCCAGAAAATGTTGGATGTATTCATTGTTACCATGGCATAACACATCATTAAGTTGCGAATTCTGGAAGTAGCCTCCATATAAGGAGAGGAATACTGAACATACTAACCCACTGCCGACCAGTATCATTTTCAAGGCATGATTGGCTGTTCTAACCAGACAATTGTTCAGTTTCTCTGAGACATAAATTTATGCATAATTTGTGCAAGAATTTGATGTTATCATCAATAGATGTGAGTCTTATACTCTTCTATGGTCTTTGAAAAGAGAACCAAAGAAGTTGTAAAATGTAAGATATTATCTATAACTGTACTGCAACAGCAGAGTTTGCTGCTATTTAAATGTAGCTGAAAGGGAAGGCAGGGAGCCATATGAAGATGTCTTTGAGGGGTTCAGTAAGTAGTTCCAAACAGCAACAAGTGCTGGTTCTTCATCTTGGTGGTTACATGTGGGCAAACGACCCACCACCATAAATGTTAACCTGTTATGTCCTGTTGCTCTGAAATTGGACAGTTTTTTGATGGTGGGGGGAGGGGCTATTTTACAGTACTTCCAGTGTCTTAGAGCATATATAGCGTCAAATGGTAGGGTGATTGATGAGTGGTGAATTGGAAAGAATTTGGAAGGATATGGTCATTGCCCAATCATTGTACTGTTCTGGCATTAGCATGGCCAGACTTAGGGAAACCAACATAGAACCTCAGTCAGGATAGCCATTGTCCTTGCCAAGACTCAAACTGACTGCCTCCTGAATATGAGTCTTGAGTGTTAATAATACGCCACTATGTTCGATTACAGTTCCTTCAATATAATTCGAATTACTTCATTGTATAATTCACAGAATCACTTTGCACTGCACATTAAAACCAACCAATGTGAGCACAATCTGCAGCTCTACTTACCCTAGCAATACTGGAATTTTCTTACAGGAGAAGGGTTGGAGATATTTCCAAGCTGTGCAAATGAAAGCAGCACCCTGACTCCTACAGCAGGCTTTAGATTTATCGGTGCTATACTATATTTCCTATGTGTATTACAGCCTCAGAATGTCAATTCACTTTTTTATGTACAGAAATAAATATAAGAAAAAAGGGAAGTAGGTCATAGAAATTAATATTTATCTTGAATAGCAGATTACCAGAAATATGAAATAAGTTACAAGGTCATTTTTCCTTGCATTATATTTCTGCAATTGTTGGGTTATATGAATGACATGTTCATGATAGTTACAAAGCACCATATGGTGAAAATTTATGAGGTAAATAATTTGTGTAAATTTTGTCATACTAATTCACATATGCAGACCAGTCTGTGAAAGGGTGCTTAAAAATTAAGTGCATTTAAGAAATTGCTTGGATTTAATGTGTTTCATTTGTTTGTATTTTTTCTTTCCGTGGTGTGTATGTGTGTTTATGAATGTGCTCTAAGTTTTATCACCACTTCTATTGTGACTATTTGAAATTTTCTTTTACATAAAATTTCTCATTATACTTTTTAATGGTTCTGATATTACTAGTTTGTTGTTCTGTATGATGCTAATTGTATAATGGAGCAGAAGATGTTCAGCCATTGAATGCATCATTTTTATGAATTTAATTTGTATGTTAATTAGCATGTTTTCTCACTAGTCATACTTTTATTTGGGTCCTCGAAAATTATAGAAAAATTCCACTCTTTCATAATTTTACTGCAGGTTTCTTATAATTTATCATTTCCCTTTTCCAAGATCTCCTCCAACCTCATTTGCTAACTAGGTACGCCAGTCAAGTATATAAAATTCACAAAAATTAATTAATGTTTTACCTAATGAATTCCATAAGCACAATAGATCATAGAAGGTTGCAGTGCGGGGGCCGGTTTTTATGGTCCACCCCTTACATACATACATACATACATACATACATACATAATGAATTCCATACTGAAAAGTTTTCAGAAATTTGTAACCAGAGTAGGGCAGTAGCAGAATACATGTAGCTTCACATGTGTATATATTTGTGTATTGAATTCATTGCTTCTTTCATATCTTCATCAGATGTTTTTGTCTTTGTGAAGACACGGCACATTTCTAGAATTCTCATTTAAAATTTGTCTCACAGGTCAGTTCAACATTCCAGCAATTCTGAAATGTTACGCATTTCACACTTCAGATCTCTAATGTGTGTGTGTGCGTGTGCATGTGTTCTTCCATCTTTCTACTCTCTTATAATGCAGGTTCACCAATTAGGCATGCTGCATCATCAACAGGTGACTTCTTCCACTCATCCACAAACCATTGGAGCTGATGGGATGAACACAAACCTCCGTGGGCTTCTTTCTCATCACAACCCACATGGCATGTACACTGCTGCAAGTGGTCAGGTCATCCGAGTTAACCTTTCTGGTCAGCCCCAGCAGATGAATAACGTTGTGACATATCGATCAGCACCAGGAGTGCAGCAGTATCCTGTCAGCCTAGCTCCACCTACCATGTCCCGCTACTCAAATCCTCATCCAAGCCAACACCCTGCACAACATGCAAATCAGCTTTCTGGAACTCCTCATCAACAACAGCAATTATACCAACTCCAGCAACAGCAACAACAGCAGCAACAGTCAAGAATATCACCTCATGCTGTGATGTTCAACAATCCTGGTATGAGACCAGCCCTGCATGCAAGGGTACAAAGTCCACAGAGTTCAAACCAGCAATCCCAGCCTCTTGCACAACCCATGCATCAAGGGGGAGGTGTACAATGGCATATCCCTCAACAGTCAGCTGGTATGGTAAATGGAACAGGCCTACCACCGAACTCTTCCTCACAACATCATAGTGCATCCCGTCCCCCACCCCTACCCCTTCCTGTAGATGAGTCCTTTAAGATAACTCTTAAACATGTACCACAGCAACAACAGCAGTTAATGCAAAGGGCAGCACCAGCTCCTGCTCCTAGCATGGTTGTAGATGCTGGAAACAAAATGCCCGGCGGTCATGTTACCTCATCTGTATCGAAGACTCCAAGTCCAAGCCAGGCAAGAGTTGAGGACCCGGAAAAAAGTCTTGATAAATTTTGTCAGGTAAAGTTTAAAATTGGGAGGAAAGTTACCCATGCCAGTTCTGTATTGTGTATTTATTTCCTCATGTATAACTTTCTTAGTTGGTCCATGGTACAGCATGAATATCAACAGTCTGATGTATCTGATTTGAGTATGATTTTAATTGCTCACAACAAATAAATACACCAAAATTATCTTGGGTATTAAGGCCGCGCCATAGTTCAAGCGGTTAGTCGCTGGCTTCCCAACGTGGTGGCCCGGGTTTGATCCCAGGTCTGGTCAAGTGGGATTTGTGGTGGAGAAAGTGGCGCTGGGGCAGGTTTTCTCTGAGTACTTCTGTTTCCCCTGCCAATCTTCATTCTACCAG